TTAATACTGATAATAAAAATAATACTAATAATTTAAAATATTAATACAGAAAATAATAATAATAATAATAATAATAATAATAATAATAATAATAATAATAATAATAATAATAATAATAATAATAATAATAATAATAATAATAATAATTTAAAAATATTAATACTGATAATAATAATTATTATTATCATCATCTCATCATCATCATCATCATCATTTTTATTATTGTTATTATAAAATATAAATAATAATAATAATAATAGGGTATTTCAGCTAAAAAAATTTTTTATGTAAATAAAACCAGTCAATTTGGAATTATTGATTAACAGTAGTAGTAGTTGTTGTAATAGTAGTAGTAGTAGTAGTAGTAATAATAATAATAATAATAATAATAAATAAAAAATACATAATAGTTTAATAAAAACCTGTCCATTTGTAATTATTGATTACTCCTAATTAACAGTAGTAGTAGTAGTAGTATCAATAATAATGATGATGATGATGATGATGATAATAATAAGGGTAATTCAGCGGTATTAAATATTTTTATGTGAATAAAACCCAGTCTATTTGGAATTATTGATTACTCATAATTAACAGTGGTATTTAATAATATTAATAATAATAATAATTATTATTATTATTATTATTATTATTAAGGTGACTAAGTCATACAAAATATTTTCATTTGAATAGAATACTTAAATGTAAATGAAATTATTATTATTATTATTATTATTAATAATAATAATAATAATATTAGTAATAGTAATAATAATGTTTGTGTTATAATTATATTTATAATTATATATTATAATTATATATGGCGTTATAATGTGTAATAATGTTTATAGAATTATGTTATCATTGTTTTGACTTAAATATTGTTATAACTAGTTATTATAAATATAAATACACATACTGGTAAAAAATGTATAGCCTGAATGCACTGTAAGTCGCTTTGGATAAAACCGTCTGCTGAATGCATAAATTATTATTAAATTATTAAATGAATTATTAAATTATTAAATTAATTATTATTAATTAATTAAATTAAATATTGTTATATAAATATTGCTATAAATAGTTCAAAGGATAATAGTTTATTCAGTCATATTAAATATTTTGCTTAAAAAACAAGTATATTATTATTATTATTATTATTATTATTATTATATAGCACACAGGCCATAATGCTTTTATGAATGGTTTTTGTCATTTGTTGATGTTGACAGCCCTGCTAGAGTTTTCTACTCATAACTGTGTCCAGTTTGGTTTGCAAAGAAAAGCGGCGTCTGTGATTCTAAAATTATATGCCAGGTTCTCATAAATGGGTTATTACATTTATTTGCCGATCCTGATAAAAGGCAGTCTTCTGTATGAATTGACCATTAAAGACTCTCTACCACACACACACACACACACACTCACTCACACACACACACACACACACACACACACACACACACACAAACATGTATTGGTAATGCGAGCTCCAAATATGCAATCCTTCAAAGTGCACTCAGAAATACACAGTTGTTTCTTCAGTTATGGACACTCTGTGTCTCCGGTGTCGATTTTGAAAGTCTGTTTGAAGAAGGTTTATTGTCCACAGCTGAAGAAGCACTGAAGAGTTTCTGATTGTGTGGTTGTTGTCTGTTCTCACAGGACTGGAGCCATTCACGTTGGCGATCGTATTCTGGCCATCAACAGCGTCAGTCTGAAGGGCAAGCCGCTCAGTGAAGCACAGTAGTACTAATATTTGATAAGATACTGTATTAGTGAAAGTATTTTGTCCCCATAATTTTTAATAACTATAATTTAAAAATTCTAGTTTTATTAAAATAGTAATTGTTTGACTGCTCATAATTATCAGTAGTAAGAAATAAACAAACTGACAGTAAGGTTGCAACAAAAATGAAGTGTGTGTGTGTGTGTGTGTATAAGTTTGTGATTTTATGTAAAATAAATATAAAAATAAATAATTATATAATATATTATAATATACATTTCATCCCCATTTTGGCATCTTCTGACTATGAAAATTTGATAAGCTATACTATTAGTGAACAATTTCACCCTATAAATTGTAATAAATACAATTATATGTAAATTACATATAATTTAGATCATTTACATTATTATTTTATTATATATTAGTATTATTATTTATTTTCTATACGTTGATATTAATCATATTTAATTATACTTAATTATAAGCTATTATATGGATTGGGGCAAAACGCTTTCACTAATAGAGTAGCTTTCGATCATCAAATTATCGAAGTATTTAATTAATCATCATAATCATAAGAAGTTTTAATTAATCAAAAAAAAAAAAAACATTGACGACTTGCCACCTAAATACTGACTTAATGCCGAAATTATCTGTATTAACAATTAAATAAAGACATTCACCATTTTACACAAAACACCTGTTTTTTTATGCATACAAATCTGGGTTACCCTTTATTTTAAGGTGTCATTGTTACAGTGTACATTTACTTTTAAGTATAGTGTAACATTGTGTAACATACATTTAAGTACTGAGTAATACTAATTAACTACATGTACTTACTCTATAGTTAGGTTTTGGAAAAGTACAACAGCTCCCCCCAACCTAGCCCCCTTCTAGGATTAGGGTTACTTGTATGTAATTATGCATAACTAATTGTTACTATAATAGTAAGTACATGTAGCGTGTAACAAGGACACCTTAAAAAAAATCTGATAACTGTCATTCCCCCTTCAGCACCAGATGATCAAAATAAAGAGAACGATCTGGATAACGAGCTCAGCGATAACGAGGACGACATGACCGACTCGCAGAAGACCAACAAACTGTCGGACATTTATTCCACCACCATCCCCAGCGTGGATTCGGCCATGGAGTCGTGGGACGGCTCGGGAATCGACGGCGGTTACAGCAGCCAAGGTGAGTGCACTCTCCTCACGCCGGGCCGATATTCGTTACATCTACTGACAGCCTCTCAGTCAAACATGTGACCTGATGCTCCTCCGAAGGTGGCTACACGCATCAGGCCGCTGGGATTGCGCTACACCCTCACGAGTGGCGTAACAGCAAGCAGAGGAACAGCACGCCTCCTCCGTCCCGCCGCAAGAACTACCCCTTCAGTGACGCGGGATTCAGTGAGGACGACTGGGACAAAGCTGCCGGGTGAGACGGGACGCTGTACACAAGCGTGTGCAATGCTGCATTGTTTTCAGTGTTCTTATTGTAAATTACTACTATTAAAAATCATTTTTGGTGATTGACATGAAGCTGAAAAAAATATAGAAATATTCGATGAGAAACTTAAAGTTAATGAAACTTACATTTATTTTATTACAGGGTTTTTTTTGGTCAAGAAAAAATGTCAAAGTCAAAGTACTGTACTAAAATGACCAAAACTTTGAAAGCTAATTGAAATATTTAAGAAATTATGAAAAAAGGAATAAAAACTACACATGCAAATTGCCAGAACTTAAATAAATATTTTAGAGTAAATATATATTTTACACGTCTGTATATTCTAGTCATATAAAGAAATGAAATAAATATTTAGTATTTAAAAAATGCTTCTTCTTTTTTATTCCATTCACTCTAAATCAATCTTATAAGTATTTTATTAAAAGCAGAATCAATTATCGGTATATTTAGTTTTCTTAATTCCTCTTCCATTCTTTAATTTAACATTTATATTTTTTTCATTCTTCACTAGATTTGTCATTCATAACTAGGGATATGCCGGTATCAAATTTTCATGTTACGGTTAATTGCTAATGCTTTTATCGCCTGCACAAGTCTATTCATAACATATCTATGTAGCACATCTCTGTCACATACAAGAAAAAAAAAAGTATTTAATTTTTATTTATTTTTTTATAAAAAAGTCATGCTGTTTGCATAGAGATAGGAGGCAAGAAAATATATCTACATGAATAAATATATATATATATATGAAGAGTTCAGATGTAAAAGCCTATAAGTGCCATTTGAAATTTTCTTCTAAAATTTGTATTTTGCTCAGGCTCCTATGTTTACGTTCAGTTATTTCACTTTAATGGCAATGAAAAGAACCTATTTATTGCCATTAACATGAAATTACTGAACCTACACAAAAGCATGATAAAACATCTCATTTTAGAAGAAAATTTCAAATGGCACTTAGATGCTTTTGCATCTGAACTCTTACACATATATATATATGTATACACACAGTGCTGCTTGAAAGTTTGTGAACCCTTTACAATTTTCTATATTTCTGCATAAATATGACCCAATTCATCATCAGATTTTCGCACAAGTCCTGAAAGTAGACAAAGAGAACCCAATCAAACAAATGAGACAAAAATATTGTCTTTGTCATTTATTTATTGAGAAAAAAATGACCCAGTGTTACATTTCTGTGTGTTACAGTGTTGCATCACTATGTGTGTATGTGTGTATATATATTCAAATAGAAAGCAGTTATTTTAAATAGTAAAAATATTTCACATTACTGCTTTCGCTGTATTTTGGATCAAATGTATGCAGGTTTGGTGAGCAGAAGAGACTTCTTTAAAAAACATTAAAAATCTTACTGTTCAAAAACTGTTGACTGGTAGTGTATATATACTGTTAATTATGCTAAAAAAAACGGTTAATAACAATTCATAATTTCAATAAATAATATAATAGTAATACTAAATCAACACCGATTGTTATATTGAAATGACTGTGGGCTTACAGCTTTTACAGTTTTACGCTCAAATTATCTGTCTGTATGTATAGCTTTGTACAGCCTAGCAGTCTTTCAAAACACCAGCAACCAACAGCAACGGCTATTCGCCTCATGCCTCATTGGCTGTAATGTGTGCGTCTGCCGCAGATACAGCAGCCAGCCGCATGCCGACGGCCTCATGATGGAGCAGGAGGACAGTTTCTGGTGCCAGGCCCTGGAAGACCTGGAGACCTGCGGCCAGTCCGAGCTCCTGCGCGAGATCGAGGTAAACCGCTGCGATGACGAGAACATCTCTAATCATCTCACGGGTCAGATAGAAATGAACAAATAATGATCAATGATAGCGTTTCTCTGAAGAAAAAGTCGATAGTTTGCACTTGCAGTGTGATGATGATGTCAATATCAGTTATGTTAGAGTCATTTGATGCATTAAACACAATCACAAATTAATGAAATTCATGAATTAATATGTTAATGGACCTTTTTTACATTTCAAGAAGCGCAAGTCATCATAGTTGGGCAAACTTCTGTAGTTATGAATGGAAACTACTGCAAATATCATTTTTGAGTTCCTGTTTGATCCAATAGCAATAGATAAAATCCACGATAGCATGTCTATGACCTTCTAAATCAAGAAAAAAAAAAATATATATATATATATATATAACAAATAAAGTAAAATAAAGTGTGAATAGTCGTATAAATATGCATTAAAATAAATAAAAAAATATTGAAGAACGATAGATTTACAATGTTAGTAACTGGAGTTGCATCATCACAGTCTGTGAAAAGTCTGGAAAAGAATTATGAAATAAAAAACGGAGATGTAAAAATGATGGAATAGAGCATGAATAAAAACAAAATGAAATCTAAATGTTCAATGAAAAACTTAAACTTATTTCAAACGTGTTTCATATTTTTGTTTGTTGAAGTACTAAAATTCTGGGAAAAAAAATAAAGCTAAATAGAAATATTTCGAAGTAACTAAAACTAATAAAAATGACAAAGCTCATAACAAAATTACTAAAACAAACTTAAATTAAAGTGAAATCTAAAAATATATAAAAAGCTTGTTTTTATATAAATATTTTAATGTATGTTTTATATACATTTTTACATGTCTGTATATCTAGTCAAATAAATTCTGTTGAATTATTGGTATTTAAAATGGCAGAACATTTTGTAAAAAAAAAAAAATTCCATTCATGCTAAAACAATCTCATTTGTTTAAACATTTTAATTAAGAAAACAAACAATTAATTATTCTGTTTTAATTCCTTCTCCATCTTACTTATATCTCAAAATTGATCCGTCATTTTAAATGAAGAGAATAAAGAGAAAGTGTATTAAATTGTTATTATATATATATATATATATATATATATATATATATATATTTTGTCTTTAAGTGTGTTAAATAAAATAATAATGATAATAAATAAAAGGCACATGCTTCATAGAATGACTCAAAACCTCTTTGGAGTTCAGCGGTTGAGCAATGCTGTACAGTCCCAGTAAATAATGTCAGATTGTGGTAGTCTGCCGCGTCCTCCACAACCAAGCACTCAAATCTGGCCTGCAAGATGAGGAATTGTTCCGTGAAAGTACAGCACGTTTTCTGGCCTGTGATTGTACCCTTACCTTATTTACATAATTCCTGTAGTGAGTCGAGTGCTAAAACACCACAGACAGCGAATGCAAATACACACCGCCACCAGCATTCGCAGGTCATTCTTGTGAATTCCCTTTTTTAAGTTGGAAATCCCAAATCACCAATCACTACACTCCTGCTACCACAAAATCACACAAAGTCTCTGCATACTGACTGATGGCTCATTTCACGCCTGCTTGCTCAAAACAGTGAGCTCTGTTCTTACACAACCAACCTAGGAGAGTTAGGAAAGCTGGGGAAGTGTTTTTATCAGATGTTTGATGACACTGGCTAGCATGTTTCTTCATCGATACTTGACTTTCTGTTTTCCGTGGAACACAAAAGGAGATGTTTTGTCTCTTCTAAATGGAAATGTACAATTATAAAATAATGCTGAAATGAAATACAATATAAATATTAGGTGAAAAACTTACACTTATTTGAGTTAGTTGCCAAGGAAAAATGTCATATTTTCGTTGAAGTCATAATTTCATTGAAGTACTAAAATTCTGAAAAAATTTAAGCTAACTAGAAATATTTCAAAAACAATTAACACTGATGAAAAATTGCAATTCACATAAAAAGTTACTAAAACTTAAACTAAACTATTATTTTTATATAAAAATAATTGTATTTTTTTTAAGTGTTTGTACATTTAGATCTATAAATTCATATTCATATAAATTCTATTTGAAATATTTGGTATTTAAAATGCAAGAACTTTTTGTATTTTTTTTATGGAAAAGAGCAGCCAGGACATTCTTCACAATGTCTCTTTTTGTGCTGTACAGAATAAAGCAAGTCATACAGGCTTGGGACGACATGAACACCATGTTAAAAGATTATTGGAGTACATTTTACAAGAAAAACACTATTTTAGTCTTTCTAATTAAAAATGCACAGTTCAATCCCATGTGTTACTTGCCATTTCTTTGTAATTGTGAAATTTGCAATCAATTTCTAAATGAAAGTAGTTTCTACACCTCTTTTTTCAGTGAAGGTGAACTTTTTAAAATATATTTTTCATTTTTATTTTAAATTTTATTAAACGTGCAGTAGTTTTTGTCATTTGTAATATTTTGTTTGTTTTGAAGTTTTTTTTAGTTTTCCATTTATTTCCGTTTTCGTGTATTTTAGCACTTAAACTAAATAAAATGTTACCCTAGCAACTAACCAAAGTTTAGCTAACTAGTTTAAATATATTTGCCACAAAAAAATTGCTTTTTCATTCAAAAACAGAGGTGTTGCAATGCTGGGAGGACAAAGGCGAGATAAGGCAGATCCAAAGGGAGTATAAAGTTTAATAACTAAAAGTAAAACAAACACGGGCAAATCAGGAAACAAATTGCTGCTTTGTGGTTTCTGAGGGACTTTACAGAAGTATCTGTTGTAGTTACGTTCCCAAAATCACGTATTACTGTAAGTGCAAGCCAGCACAAATCTCAAATTATGTTATGAGGCGTAATGGGCTGCAACTTTCCAAGTAATCTGCAATTTCTTGTACACTAACTGTGTTTTGAAAGTAATTTCATAAGCGTAGATCCACGCTGATCCTATGTGTATTGGATTGAGTTAGTAAAACCCATTGAATTACAGCTTCAAAGAGTCACAGATGCCGGAACTCACAATTAACACACATTTCAGTCACAGCTCATTGGAAATAAATGGATCTGGAGCTCATTAAAGGTAAATGAGGATGGGCTTCACGTCTTCTGGTTAATAGGGTTTTATTAAATGAGACAATTGCTTAATGGGAGCCCAATCAGAGGCTCCCTATTAAAACAATGTGGCCTAAAGGCCCTTTCCATGACAGAGTTCAACACACTGGGGAACATTGGCTTGTGAGAAGGCAGGAATCAATGTTTGTGGTTGTTTTCCACCTGTAGGCGTCGATAATGACCGGCAGCGCCCTGAGTTTGGGTGTAGAGGGTGGAAAGGCCCACGGCGAGACGGTCAACCAACCTCACCTCAGCCCTCTGAGAAAAGCCCCACATCTCCTCAACGAAACCAAGAACAAGAGCACGCTCCGTATGTCCGAGAAGACCTGGGAGTCACGGAGGATCAAAGAAGAGATCCAGGACATCCTGTCGCCCACACCATTAGAGCTGCACAAGGTAGGCGAACTCACAGCATAAGTTGAACACACAGTTGAACAGTATGTGGATTCAAGTGTTGGTCAGCATGGTTGGTATTAGTAACCACTGGGAGTATTTATCTTCTCTGAAATTTTGCTTTCATTCTAAGAATGTTATTTTCCCTGTAGATACTTCATGAAGTTCATGCAAAACCAGTAAATTATGATATGCACAGATCTGTCGCATCAGCATAACCATGGTTTATTTCCAAGTAAAACTGATATCCGGGGAGTTGCTTTGAAGATTTTGTTTTGTAGTTTTGCTTTTTTTGTTTTGTTTTGCTTTGCTTTGTTTATTTCAGATGGCAACTGACATGTCTTGGGAATTGCTTTGAAGATTTTGTTCTTAGTAGCAAAACTACTAAGAAGTTTTCCTTCTTAGTTTTGTCTTGCTTCATTTTTTGCTTTGCTTTGCTTTGTTTGTTTTGTTTTGCTTTGTTTATTTTATATGGCAACTGACATGTCTTGGGAATTGCTTTGAAGATTTTGTTTTGGAGTTTTGCTTTTTTTGTTTTGCTTAATTGTTTTATTTTTATTTATTTATTGTTTTTCTTTGTTTTTTTATTTGCTTTGCTTTTTGATTTGATTTTACTTATTTTTCTCTTTTTGTTTGTTTGTTTTTTGTTTTGCTTTAGTTTTTGTTTCGCTTGGTTTGATTATTTTAGAGGAAAATCGACATGTCCTAGGAATTGCTTCAAAGATTTTGTTTTGCAGTTTTGTTTTTAGTTTAGTTTAGGTTTTGTTTATTTATTTATTTATTGCTTTAGTTGTTTTTTGCTTTTCATTGATTTGCTTCATTTTTTGTCTTGTTTTTATGATTTTTGTTTAGTAGATGTAAATAAATGCATAGTTTTGTGAAATTATCTTTAAAATAAGATTAATTTACTTGAAAATATGTTGCATCAGATATTAAGAAAATAATATTCTGCATATTTGTTTCTCAGGAATTGTTAAAAAAAAAAAAAAAAAGTGAAGTGACATGTGGCCAAGTATGGAGCAGTGGGCAGCCATTTTTTTGCTGCGGCGCCCGGGGAGCAAAATTAAATTAAATCAATTAATGAAATTTTTTATTTAAGATAGATAGATATAGTGTTTTTATAGCCTAAGGACTTATTTTTATGTGAACTATTCCTTTAAGACTTCAACATCATCTTCTGAACATAATTAGAATAAATTGGCTCATAGTTGAATTGTTCAAATAATTTTGTGTTACACAATTACAGGTGACTGTGATGAAGGACCCAGAGAGCGATGACTTTGGATTCAGCGTATCGGACGGTTTCTTGGAAAAGGGTGTTTACGTGAACATGATCAGACCTGAAGGTCCAGCGGACCGTGCTGGACTCAAACCGTACGACAGGATCCTTCAGGTGCCTCTTCTCAGATCACCACTCACTGGTTTCCCAGCGTCCCCTCCCTTTCCCCAGCTATATGATCTGCCCAGCTCGGTTAAATATAAACTCACTCTGAGAGGGCCAGAATGAGGTATGAGAGCGTCAGTAGGCCTTTGACTCTGGGAGGACATGTCTAGTTAAAAAGTGATTCGACTGGATCTTCTGCGTGGCTACACAGCACTTGTGGTCAAATCTTAGAGAGCGTCCCCCTCTCGCTAATCTGCCACACTTCACTGGCTGTGGAAATGATTAAATCTGTCTAAAGATTATACTTAACAGCTGTGGTGTGTTAACCACAGTTGCAACCATAGTTGTAGGTGCTTGCTTTATGGTGTCTGGTTTTGTATGTTTGTTTTCATATTTAATAATGGGTTGAAAATTTCAGAACAAATTCTGGTTCAGATGAAGCCCGTATAAAGTTGCATACAGTTACATTAATGTTAGTATGGTGACAATTATTTTACAGATGCAAACATTTGACCAAAGTTGCTAAAAAAACAAAGTCTATAAAATCATAAATAAAATTCTGTAGAACATTGAATCCATGAAGTCAGTATTTTGGAAAACAAATTTCATTCAAAATATTTTGTCATTAAATCCTCATTTGTTTATACTGTAGGTGCTTTTTTCCGCTGTTTCAAACTTATAAACGTGTTTTCCTCGGAAGATACTTTATGCAGTTTTATTTATTTAATTTTTTTAAGTCAAAACCAAGAAGTTATGATACTCGTGATTTATTTTCAAGAAAAACTGACATATCCTGGGAGTTGCTTTATGATTTGATGTTTGTTTGTTTGCTTGCATTTTGTTTTTGTTTGCATTTTTTTGCATTATTTAAGAAAAAAGTTTGATTTCAAATATTTTGTCCTAAAAATCACCAAATTCTGTTGATTAGCATATGCTAATGAGATGCTAACGTCAGTGTTATTTATATACTATTATAGTATTTATTCATCTTTTGAATTTATTTTTTATTTTCAGTTTTCATTTTAGTATTAGTAATTGTTATGTGCTTTTGTAATTTTGTATCGTTTTTTAAATATATTTCCTTTTAGCTTTATTTTTATTCCAGTTTTTAGTTTTAGTAATTTTGGTACTTGTTTTATTTCACTTAGTTGTTAGGAGAATTCAAAATGTAATTTTTAGACTCTTATACTAAACGATACTAAACAAAGCAGGCCCTTCATAAAGATGTTGCCATTTATAATTATGTAATTAATCTTAAATTTTTCTACTTAAGTGTACTGAATTCGATGTCTAAATGTCTAAATATTTTTCCACCAGGTGAACCACGTGCGGACGCGAGATTTCGACTGCTGCTTAGCTGTGCCCCTCATCACAGAGGCCGGAGACAAACTTGAGCTGGTGATTAGCCGAAACCCATTAGCACAGCTGGGTGTTGCCCAGCCCCATGACTGCCATCCACACTTCAACCCCGTAGGCCATTCCCGTGAGCACCAGACCAGCACGCTAGACCTGTGACCACTGGGTAACTCAGACTATGACCACACCGGACCATTTGTTGAAACAGACTATTAGAAGGAGCCATGATTCACTGGTTTCATTACAAAACTCAAATGAACTGAAATATCCAGATTATAAGGAGTGATCGTGGAAACTGTACAACAAAAGATTTGAGCCAGTTTTCAGTACAAAACTCGAAAGGATCTGAGCCAGTTTTTTAAAAACAGAACAAAACAAAACAAAACAAAAATATTGGACTACTACAATGCATACACCATACATGGACTTCGCCCATCAAAACATTTTTTTTAATTTTCTTTACTATGGAGCCTAGCACATGATATGGGGGGAAAATATTAATATAATGGCCACAAAATAAGAATTAATTCTCATGGCTTAATTATTCTCCAAGTTTTCGTAAATCGTGGCCATGTTGTACTGATTCATTCCCTAATTTTTGTAAATCATGGGCACGTTCTACTAATTCGTTCCCTTGTTTTAGTAAATTGTGGCCACATTGTGCCAATTTGTTTCTTTGTTTTTGTAAATCGTTGTCACATTGTACTGATTTTTTTCCTCGTTTTAGTAAATTGTGGCCATGCTCTACTGATTCATTCCCTCGTTTTAGTAAATCGTGGCGACGTTGTACTGATTCATTTCCTCGTTTTAGTAAATCGTAGTCGCATTGTATTGATTCATTCCCTCGTTTCTGTAAATCATACTCCCATTGTACTGATTCGTTCCCCCATTTTAGTAAATCGTGGCGACGTTGTACCGATTCGTTCCTTCGTTTTAGTAAATCGTAGTCACATTGTATTGATTAATTCCCTCGTTTCTGTAAATCATACTCCCATTGTACTGATTCGTTCCCCCATTTTAGTAAATCGTGGTGACGTTGTACCAATTCGTTCCTTCGTTTTAGTAAATCGTAGTCACATTGTATTGATTCATTCCCTCGTTTCTGTAAATCATACTCGCATTGTACTGATTCGTTCCCCCATTTTAGTAAATTGTGGTGACGTTGTACTGATTCGTTCCCTCATTTTAGTAAATCGTAGTCACGTTGTACTGATTTATTCCCTCGTTTCTGTAAATCATACTCGCATTATACTGATTCATTCCCTCGTTTTAGTAAATCATGGCCACGTTGTACTGCTTTGTTACCTCTTTTTCATAAATCATGGTCACGTTGTACTGATTCGTCCCTGCGTTTTAGTAAATCGTGGCCATGTTTTACCAATTTGTTCCCTCATTTTAGTAAATCATGGCCACGTTGTACTGATTCTTTCCATTGTTTTAGCAAAATCATGGCCACGTCAAACTGATTTGTTCCCTTGTTTTAGTTAACCGTGGTTACGTTCTACTGATTCATTCCCTTGTTTTTTTAAACCATGGTCACATAGTACTGATTAATTTTCTTGTTTTAGTAAGTCATGGCCACGTAGTACTAATTCATTCCCTTGTTTTGGTAAACCGTGGTCTAAACGAAGGTATGAATTAGTGTAATGTGACTGCATTCAGCTAAAACGAGGAAACATTTAATTTAATTCTTAATTTGTGGCCAAAGATGTAGATTTTTTCCCCTTACAGTTTTTTTTTTTTTCTTTTCTTTTCTTTTCTTTTATTTTCTTTGGTTTTATTTTATTTAAATTTTTGTTTAGATTTTTTTTTTTTTCCGGATAAAAACATACTGTGTCCAAATGTTTACAAAAAAGAAAAATAATTCTGCTCTTGATGTAGATCGCCATTAGACGTAAACATTTTTAAATGTTTCTTATGTTTCCAATTTCTAGTAGCAAGTGTTTTTACTTCCAAAACAAACTACAAATTAAGCTTTATTTTTGTTTTAGTCCTGGATGAATCACTGTAGGAATACCTTCAGGCACACATTGTCCTTTCTCACAAACACATACACTACTACTATAAGCAGACAAAACACCGCCATTCTTTGTTCCCTAAACGCATAAACATTATAGACTCCCTACAAATAAACTTCAATTTGCCTCTGTGTCAGACACAAACATACACACAAGCGCTTCAGGCCACGAGTGCCATGACAACAATGCACATGGTGACTGCCTGCTGCTCTAAAACTAAAGTTGCTGTTTGATATTGCCAACAAAGACTTCACAACCTCTCTGTCAACAACACGTTTCTTATTTCCCAGGAGTATGATGCATTTTTCATGAATAGGGTGTATTTTAGTGTGCCATTACTTTTTTATTGCAATAGACAGAAAATCACATGATATATATATATATATATATATATATATCTCAATCATGAGGTTGATTAGATATGTTACATAAAATATTATAACACAAAATGGCACGTACATGGTTTTAAACACATCAGTCATTTTTCATTTAAAATATTTGTTTTTTCAATACTTATTAGTCATGTCATGTTATTTTGCACAATATGCTACATTTTATTTTTTTGTACAATTAATTGTAGTCAAAATAATTTTTAATATTAACTAATTTTATCCACCAGAATATTTAGCTTTGTCCTGCATTTTGTGTGCAACCCTGTTACTTTATGAATTCCTAAATATCAAAAAACGTAAATTTCCTTCAAATATTAGAACGTGAAATTATTGGACACCTTTGGCAAGGCAGAAAAAAAACAAGTAAATATTACATAAATACTAGTGTTAATCAAGCTTAATCGTTCAACTATGTTATTGTAACAAAAATGATCAAACAAATATAATATTTTGAATTTAAATTATTTGTCAAATATGGTTATCAGTAACTACAAACCAACATTTGATCCCAAACTAGTTGGCCTCTACTGAGTGATGGCTTAATTTGGCTACATTTGAAAAACAGGGTTGAGATAATTGCAGACCTGATATAAAATGGCTAGAAAATAAAGCATGAAAATTTGTCTGAAATGAATAATCAACATTTTCTGAAGGAAAGTGACTTATTTTGTATGTATTTTTACCCTATTTGTGCAAAGTGCATTTGCTCAAGATACTTTCATGAGAAACAAGAAGGTTTGATAATGACATGCACACACTTAATTTGTGACACCTTTTAGTTAGCAGTACATACTTCCATTACCTACACCCTCAAACGGCCACATGTACTCTCATGCAGCAATAAAATGGAGGTTTGACATGTCCTGACTTCATTGACATGTCACTGACTTCTTGAAAAGCTTATCGTAGTAAGTACTGTGGTAGCCCTACCTTTTCTCTCCACATACCTCTCTTGATCTTTTAACACCAAACTGCTGCCGCAACGTAGCATTCGCTCCAGTCCCCACAAACGTCCGGGCCTCAAGAGCACGTTCTTTCACGGTAGACTGTCGGAGGCTGCCATTTGCCACCACTGGCCAAATATTACAAATGTTTCCGCCACAGGCTATTTCAGACACATCAGTTCAGGAGCGTTTGTAAAGCCGTCACATCGTTAACTCATGTTCCGCACTTGTGGGGCACCCAGGTTTTACAAAGGTCACGTCTCTGTGGACATGTGCGGCCCCACAGTCTATTAACCTCCACTAAACATTTATCTAGTGTTTCACAAATGTGAGATTTATGGTCTCCATTGGGCCGTGGTTGAATATCTCTTGACAACTGAAAGGGGAACTGAGGACGTTTAGTTTCGTCTGTCGTGTTGCATGTTTGGATCATGGAATATTCTGCTGCTATGAGAACCGTTTCACCCCACAAGACAATTCTTTTGTGGAACATTTGACGTGAACAACTGGTTAAAGCGGTTAAAGTAAACTTGTTTGAGGGTGTGTCTGATCCCTTTGTGTGTGTTTGTGGGCTTGAGATGTATGGAATCTGATGTCTTTGAAGTTTCTCGAAAACCACCGTTAGGATGCCTCCTGACTAGGTTTGGGAATCAATAACTGGTTTTATTCTGGGAACTGTTTCCACTTTTTTTTTTTTTTGCATATGCAAAGGAAACACTGTGTTCTAAATACTCTAAAAAACAAAAAACATTGTCTTTAATTGGGTTACCATTCCAGTATACATAGTTGGGACAGACCCTACACAGTATTTTTATCCTGGATGAAGAAATGTATAATTTTTCTAATCCAATTTATTAACTGAAGTAACAGTTCATCCAAATTCTGTCATTATTTACTTTACCAAAATTATTGCCAATTTTTTTTAGTGCAAAGCTATCATATGTGCTTTTTGCAACTTGATGGACAAGGTCACTATGAACTGTTGTATGAAAATGAGCGGCATTAATTTTTATTTTTTTGCAGAGAAAAAATTACACCATATATTCTTAAAAACATTTTTCCACTGTAAAGAACCTTTTATGGAATGGAACATTTCCGTGGATGTTACAGTTTCCTTATGGAACCATCAATGTTAATAAAGAACCTTTATTTTTAAGAGTGCGAGTAAATAATGACTCAAATTATTTTCATTTTGCGGTAAAGTACTCCTTTAAAACACTAAAAGGTTACCCACATGGACTGATGAAAGCTATATTTGTCTCTGTATAGGTTGCAGACTTAAAGATGTTTCTTGGTTCACCTAATAACCATAAGCAATGCTCAGCTCAGCTATATCCTGTTTTTCCCCCTCATTCAGGCCTTGTGTGATTCAAGCAGTTTTCCCACACTTAAAAGTCTGATTTTGGGGGTTATTTCTCCTTCAGTGTGGTCCTGTCCACACCAAAACACTTATACCCTGTAATTATTTGTGGATTAGGTGAATTTATTTCCTCACCCTGCAGTCTTTACTGCAAATAGATTTTGCTTGTGCTTCCAACATGGTAGTAAAGTAGAAAGCACTCATTGTTCTACAAGACTTTGTTGAACAATCAGAGTCTCTGTTCAGGCCCATCGCATTAGGAGTCTACCCAGGGCTCGCTCCTAGGCCCCTTTAAGTTTTCATTTTTTTCTCCCCACCACCTTCCTGTCGGTTGCGTAATTCTACTAACTGCCTCCAAAAGATGACTACAAAAAAAGAAGACCTTTATTTTATGTAAAATTTCTTTTTTGGGTCTACTTTGTGGTACAGTAGACCACATTTTGTCTACAGGTCATCACATTGCAGGCAAGTAAGCGAAGTCTCAAAGAAGGGTCAGTTTCATTTCTGAGACGTTTAACCATGGTATTGTTCAGTGTAAGTATTTTAACATGTTGTATGTACTATTCCAGGAGGAAAGACAATGGGGTTCCTTTTATACGTGCAATATTGAGACCAGAGAAGGCTTTTAAAGGATTTTACATAAGCTTTGTAAAGCTCCAAACGTGTTCATCCCTATGCATTTTGAATTCCTGATTAATGTATGCATTGATATTAATGTGTATTTTTGAATGTGTAATACGAAAGTTCTATTCTCTGTACAGTATTTTTGTATGAACTCTAAACCTTGTTGTTTCCACAGCGTATTGGAAGCACAATGGAGAAAGAGAACCAATAATCAAGTCTATTCTGCTTTGGCTAGACTGGTTTGGTGTTGAGACCCATTCCTAATCAATACAGGAATGTGCTAATGATATCCTTTTCTAAAAACAACTGAATAAAAGAGGTAAAATGCACCAATCTGAGTCAAAATCAATGTGTTTGAGCACTTTAAATGGAAATTTGTGAGAGGCCACGGATTCTTCGTAAAATGATTCGGAACACTTTTGGGTAAAATGATTCATTCAATTTCACTTAAGTTTCGGAGGCGATTTTTAAAAAAATATTTCATATTTGTTACAGAAATGGTTTCTTGCAACATTGTAAGAATGATTTTGCAAAAAATAGATTGCATAAGCCTCAGCAGAAGAAAATTCTGTCAAACAAGTTTCTATCCTTTTGTTCCAAGTTCGAAATTAAGGGCTTTCTAATTTTTTTAAGCAAAGGCTGCAAGTAAAGTAGTAATGACATCAAGTGAGATCACACTCCTGCTGAATCAACACTCTGCCCTTGCAAAAGTTGCTCTGAGAGGCTCTGAAATGAGTAAATAAGTCTTTGAAAGACTTTCAATAGGAAGACAAAGGTTTCACCTGTCACATCCTGCAGTCATCATGTCCAAGTAGCGCAGAGGTAAGCTGGGTTAAAATGTACTCCGCTCTCTCCCACAGAACCTGATTTAACCCGTGTCTCTGTGGGTGATTTACTGGTGACATTATTCTACTGGTGAGTTGTTAAACAGCCAGTGCTTTTAAGATGCTGTTCTGTCTTATCCTTTTCTTCTCTAAACATGCTTTTCAACGCCTGAGAAAACAGAGGGCTATTTTTGAAAGTGAATTGTAGGTGTTGAGCTGTACAACACGAACACACAGGATCACTTTTGCTCACTATGTGAATTATACAACCACTTTCAATGCAGGATTGTCACAGGAGGCTAATCCTGTTTAACATGATGAAAAAGATGAAAAAAAGAGTCACTTTAGAGCAGTGATGGGCAAACTCACCTGCCTGTTGCCTTCTAGTAGTCTTGAAGACAATGATTAGCTGGTTCAGGTGTGTTTGATTAGGGTTGGAGCTAACCTCTGAAGGAAAGTGGCCTGGAAGGGCCAAGTTTGCCCACCCCTGCTTTAGAGGGATGATTAGAGTCATGAGGCAAAACAACTGAAATGATGCTGCCCAGAAAAGCCCAGATGAATCGGTTTTTGTCGTCTTGAGATAATTTGTTCCTCTAAGAACAAACAGTCCCATAACAATTAATCATTCCTTCCATTCACCAGCAGTATGCCTATGCACTGCGTTTATTTTTATTTGTAGGTTATGGTAGGCAGCCAAAAATTCAATATTTACCGTGGTGAAAGATGTTGAGGTCAGGAGAAAAACACACGGGGAGTTTATACTCCGAATTTAAGCCAAAGAAAGCACTACCTTGTTTTATATAACTAAAAACCAAACACTGAAGAAATAGTACAATGGTGTAAAACTATTTTACAAATTCTGAAAGTCAAATGTTCACCACAAACAGAAGGGTTTTTAAAAGATAAATGTTTATTAAGAGATAAAAACCTTTTTTTTTTTTTTCATTTTTTCTCTTTTTTTTTGGGTGCTGTAAATTCTTTTATCAATATACTTGCTTTTTTACACATATCCTCGAAATAAAAAAATAAAACATTTTGAATCGTTACTTTAAAAAAGTTCTCTCTTGCATTTATAAACACTGCCCCCTTTAGCTGTTCTTCAAAACTGGAAGGGTTTCAAGAGATGCACAACAGCGGGAAACCAGTCTCTGTTAAAACACACCGAGACTGCTTATTAATCTCTGTATTGCTAAAAAATTGTGCCGCTTTCAACATTAACATTTACAATAATTTTTTTTCTGTAATGAAGCATCCCAAAGATACCAAAGTAGAAGCTGTTGAGATCAATTGAGCATCTCCCTTTGCGACTGGCTACCGTTTTAACTTGGCCAAGTCAAAAAAATCATATTAAATCCAATAAATTTAATCCATAACATTGGCATAATCCTTAGAATTAAGCTTTACTTTCTAATTAAAAAAGTATAAATTGTCACAGTTAGTAGATCTGCATTGAGTTTTTGGCGTTAATTCAGCATACCATTTACGGTAGCTTAAATTGGCCCCTGTTCATTGTTTCTGAAATATTACAACAGCTTAAAAATCATACATAATTCCACACTTCCAAGTACCAACTTTCTGAAAGACAGGTGAAGAAACAATGCATATTGTTCTACAAAGTATTGCACATTACAGTTCGCAGCAAGCTTTTTTTTTGTCAATTAACAGTTGTGGATGAGATCTATTGGTAATTGCTGAACAGAACAGTCAAATACAGTGATATTTTTGAATACAAAAGGCAAATGTGATTGGAAAAAAAAAACAGATTTGATACAAAATGTACGAAACTACCCCGAATCTACGTGTTTTTTAAACCTTTCCAGGCAGCTTTACATTCTGACATCCCAAAATCAGAATGTGTTTGGTGATTATGAATCAATGTGGGCGACTTACGAATAGCACAGTAAATCCGGGCCTGATTTGAAAGTATATCCACTAAGCGCAAACTCTAAATTTGCATTTTCTTTCCTATTAATTGCGCAAACAGAATGGACACACCTATTGTCTCTGCTACAAATGTCGCTCACTGTGAACGCATCTTTAGAAGTGGGAAGAGCTTGCTAAGAATTAGTGTGCTGCATATTTCCAAAGTCGTGCGCCGTTTCCAACTTGCGACGTCGGAAAGTTTACAAAACAGTTAGACTTAAAGGGACAGTCCGTGCAAAAATGAAGTTCTGTTAATTACTCACTCTCACGTTGTTCCTTTCCGTTGCGGAACTTCTTAGAAGATTGGCCCTGCGTTCCATTCGGAAGAGCTCATCCCTATGCCCTAATCCCTTCAAAGGGTTTACCCTCCGGAGTGAGAGCTTCGAAGGGTTGGAGGGTGTAGGGGACCAAACAACTGTTTCTTGAAGTGCCCTTCTGCGTCATCATCACGTGCCCACACGGAGGCGCCGTCATCATGCAAACAATCTGCGCAAAGGATCATGGGAGCCTGAAGTGTCCATCACTTGCACCCTTCGAAATCCTTCATTCCGAAGGGCCCTTTGAAGTGGCCAGTTTTGAGCACTTCGGTTTAGAACAACCCTTCAATATGGCGGCCATGATTGTTTTCACTCCGAAGTGCCCTTCGGAGGGCGATATATCCCGTTTGGAACGCACCGTAAATCTGCGAAAACCACTAAACATGCTGTATCATGTATGCCAGGCCAGTAGTTGGCGATGTCACTTTGTAAAGAGACACTACGCACTTAAAGACTGAACTAAAAAAATTAATAAAATTAATTGAAGTGCATGACGTCACCGTTTTCACAAATTTGTATTTTTATAGTTTACACAGATGATAATGGTATTGTTATCAAAAACTTGAACGTTGAAACATGTTTTTAAAACGCCCAAAATGCAGTTGTCGTGACAATGAACGCCAAAACGCATTCTTAACGCAAACTTAATTAAAAAAGTGTCTAGTAAATGTTTTGGACCCCTTTGACTTTTAATGTATGGACAAAAACCGTTGAATCATTCTTTATACGTGTTCCACATAAAAACTAAAGTCATACAGGTTTGGAACGACTTGAGGGTGAGTAAATGACGACTTTCTTTTTTCCGTAAACTATCCATTTAAATGGTGCAACATTATGGAGAATGTAGTGTCCTTAGTGGTATAGTGCATTGAAAACAAGCAGTGCTAACGGCTCGATTCTTCCGGACAGCACAATCTCCAGTCTAAACAGTTTGTCGGGACACAATAACGCATAACGACTTCTATCCCTAAAAAGACAACCTTTTCACGTTTGTGGAGGACGAGATCTTTATACACCAACGTGTACTTTTCGCGATTCACGTTTACGGAGCCCTTCGTGTTTTTTTTTCCCCATGATTCTCGATTCTCTAAAAAATAAACACAGCTTAGATTGATTTCGATATGTACAAGATAAAAGTTGCAAAAATAGAATGGGCAAGGTTCTACGTTCAGGATACTGCTGTTTGCGATCTGTTCTCTGTCTAATAACAGCGACAATAATAGTAATATAATAGTATTATGATAAAAATATAAAAAATACAGACAGAAAAATGTAACTTCCTCTGTAGAAAAACAAAACAAAACAAAACAAGGACTCCTAGTGCAGATGCGTAGCAATGTAAACCTGGTCCTACGACTATGTCAAAAGTTACAGAGTATATTTTTTATATATGTATATAGAATCACATATATATATATATGTAATGGAAAAGCAGGTCATTGAATCCTCTCACAGAGAGCGTTCACATCATAGTTTCTACTATGGTGTGGGTGGGCTTCATCAAGCCTCCGTTCCAGTTGGGGTCCAGCGGCTGTGCCAGCTCATTGCATTTGGGTTGGTAGTCTTGGGGGCAAGAACTGGCTCCTCCCCTCACGGGTGCTGCCACCGCTTTGATCCTCTGGAGGGAAACGTAAAAGGAACATTATTGGCTTGTTCATTGGTGAAGAACCTTTTTGTCGTTGACACGACTGACTCACCTCTATGAGGGGTCCATCTGATTGAATGATTTTGATCACAACCACCATTGGTATGCAGATCATGGACGTGAGGGCGAGGGTCCAACCAACTCCAATGGACCAGTCCGGGTACTCGTAGACTTTGTTGTATCTCAAGGGCATGTACTTGACCAATGAGAAGACAAAGCATCCCTGCAGCAAAAGAAAAAAGCAGGGGTCACAACAGCACACTCAGAGTCTGATACACAAGTGCCATCTCCCATTACTGTGCCTGACATATGTAATTGCTCACAGACTAATCAAAATGACAGATTATTGAAAAACTCTTAAAGGGGTGAATCATAAATAAAAAAAAAAAAATAAATAAAAAAAGTCAACAAATTTACAGATCATATTAGACTTTGAAATAAACAAATAAATTATATAATAATAATAATAAACAACATTGTTTATTATGATTTTAATTTATTGTTAATACATATTTATTTGCTCTATATTTATTTTAACAACAATAAATATCACTATTATTGATTTAAACAAATCAATGGCATTGTTTATTATTGTAATTTAGTTGTTTAGAACTACATAATTTTGCTATTTATTTATTTTTGCTTTATTTAACACTAGAACCACCACGGGTTTTTAGAACCAATTTTACCCATGGCTGTTCTTCAAATGTACATAACAGATTTTCAATAAAACATCCAAGTCTCCCAGTCACTGACTTTTACTAAAATTGTGTAATTTACAATCCCTTGTTGTTAATTATTATTATTTTTTTTTAAATAAAACCAGATCAAAACACAGGGCACTTATACCTATAAGTGCCAGCGGGTCAAATTTACCTGATATATAATGTCTGTAAATTTCCTGTAATTTAATTATAAATGATATAACTAAAATAAGTAATTAGGTGAAGCTGACAAATTCAAGCGCACATCGCATCATCCTATGCAGTGTGGTGAATTATTGCTCATTATTGTCTATTATTGGCTATTTTAGTCATTTAAATAACATAAGTTATCTTTAGGGATGCACGATATTGGATTTTTGCCGATATCCGATAATTTTACTAATTTTGGCCGATAGACGATGCGATATATAATTATTTTTAATTTTGGTTAGTTTTTAACAAGAACTTATTTGTTGGAATTAAATAAATAATAAAGTTTTTATAATTACAGTACATTGAAGATTTGAAAATAACTATAAACAAACTATATTAATCACTAAAACATTTTATTTTATGATTTAACATTTGTTAATGGTCTAAAGCAAGAGAGTTGTAAAAATTCTGAAAATCTTTTAGAGCTCATTTAAAAAAAAAAAATAACATATTACACATTAATGAATAAATCAGTATATATACAATTATTTAATTTAAGTGTCATGTTTGTGATTTTTTTTGTTCATGTAAGCTATAGCTTCTGGCCTTTAAATCAAAACATACTCATGATTTTATGGCATCTGTTTCTGATTAAATAAAGCAGTAATTGTCTAAATATCATTTGTGTATTTTGCTTCAATTTTATTAGAAGTAGGCCAACAGTGCCCCCAACTTAAAACTCCTTACCGAGCGGGCTTTAGGACCTGGGGGAGGCTGCCGCTGCTGCACATGCTATTACCGTTTACTCTATCATACACCGAACGCGTAATTTTGTACGTGCATTCTCAGTTTAAATGCAGCGATCCAAAACAGTGAATCCAATTACCATTCAGGCAAAACTTTGCTTCAAGAATGAGCCACAATGCTGACGTGATCTAATCGCTATAGCACACCCTGAGCACATGCGAGTTAATATTTCTCTTATCGGCAAGACATATCGGCATAATTTTTCATATCGGGCCCATGCGGATATTTACATTTAAAGCCATTATCGGCCGATTCCGATATTGGTCCGATAATATCGTGCATCCCTA